TCCCTTAGTCGGCTCTTACGACACCCACGGGATGAATAGGGGTGGTGACACTCTGTATTCTTAATCCGTCACCACACGGAGCGAAATACCTAACAATTCGTAACAGCTTATCCGTGGTATTGGTAGTGGTCCAAGATGAACAACACATTGGGAAAATGCGAGTTTTTGAATTAGAAAAAGTTCTGGTTGCATTATGTCCGAGTAACGTGCTGCCTTCTAGGGCTTACTGAGGATGGGATGCGGGGTCGTGCACCTCCGCGTGGTACACCCTGGGCAACGAAGACGGCAGCGCCTCTCTGCCTAGGTGGGCGCAGCGCATCTGCCTACGCCCAGTTCAAGCCGAAAAGGTGGGAACAGCCCTTCCGAGGCTTTCTGTGTGTCCCTCTGTTTAGCTGCGTAGCGCACGAGCCCTTTAGGGGGCAGAAAGAGAACATCGTGGTTTCCACACAGGAGGGAATCATTTGCAAGCCGTAAATTGCCAGTACCAGGTACCAGGGATTTAATTTTAAGGGCACACCTGGTACCTCAGCTACTGGTACCTGAGAGGACGTGCAGTTGTTATTCGGTTTTTAGGTAACAGACTGGTTTTGGTTTGGATCAAAATCTACCATTAGAAGACTTAAATCTTTAGATGATTTATGTAAAATGTTCAGTATTTTTGAGCCTTTAAGAGCAACGAGTTTTGAATATTGTGGCAATGTTTTTTAAGAACGCTTTGCGAAAATTTTCATAGATGTTACACTTAGCGAGGAATTAGCTCGAAATCCCCGACAATTATTTACGACGTTGCCAGTGCGGAATTACTGCCTGCCGCGCAACAGCAGCCTTTTATGTTTATTCACGGGTTATAATTCTCGACTGTAGAGGATTATTTGTAAACGTAAACGTAGGTGCGCTCGTATTTCACGCCGGCATCGTTGTCGGCTGACAGTTGTGAAAGTAATCACTGCAAACATGTCAAAAACTATCGCCGTTGCACGCTTAGATGAGCGAGTTTGGCCTGCCCACATTTGTAATGCACTGACAGAATGCATAATGGAATATGAATTGGCTCCAGCCCAGTTGGTACGAGTAAGTTCGTTAGCTGTTTACCCTTTGTGGACTCTTTTAAGTAAAATTGATTCATCTTTTATATCACAAATATGATTCGCACTCAACTAAAACGTGAATACGACTAACATTGTGTTGTATGTATATCGTACCTCAAAAGAAAATAGAGGATATCTTCCTTATTCATCTTATTTCATGTCCTAATCTTTTTAAGGTTCCTTAGTCCTAGAAATGAACTCCTATAGTGACGTCATGTGAGTCTTATCGACCATCCGTCCGCAGCTTTGCTTAGAGACTGTTAGTATTTACTAGAAAGATTAATAAAGAAAAAATAAAATTAGCATACTCTTTTGAAAAGTTGAGGGAGTGGGAAGTTTTTCAATTCAGTGATCAATTGTTGTTCAATGTTTCATGAAATGATATTTTTTGTTAAAGTGAAGTGTACTCTCCAACCCTACAATGAGTGGCATATTTTAAAAAACTTTAAAATTAGTTTAAAAACATTGCAAGAAATACAGGACCATATTGTACTCGTATATTGCAAGAAATATATATATATATATCATAGAACAAATAGATGGTAAGTTCTAAATTAAAAATTACCAACAAAGAAATCACACATCTTATTTCTTCTATCTCTATCTTCGGTATTTTTTATTTCTTTAAAAGTGATTTGTTAAGGCCATAGCTTATAAATGTTAATTAGGCTTAGATTTATAATTAAGATGAAGCAAATCCTACTCCCAAATTTCCAATTATGCATCGTGCGCACATAATTGGACTTTATTCACAAGAGAAAGTTTGGCAATGAAATCGCAGAAGGGCTTTGCAACCATTTCTATCAACTCTTTCCTCTGGAGGCAGAATAAAGCCAGCTTCCACCTGCAGACGGCAAAGCTGTTTAAAAGTATATATGTAGATACATATTGTTGTAAAGGATAAAGATTGTTATATATTCTCTAATGGACTGAATTTAGTAAAATAATTATATTATAAATTTAAGCACCATATTAGAAGTCGACATTTATATTACAGAGAAATATTGAATGTACAACATTAAATCGAAATTCTCGTTGTAATCATAAATAACTCGGCGGTCGAGAAGCTTTAGCGTCAATAATAACCGGTGATCATAACTACATACCTACCAAGTGAGTATTTACAGGAAATGCAAATGATCGAAGTGTCAAATAGCGGCCATTAAATTTGGATAACGCAGCTTACGTATTTCGCACGTAATCTGCCTGCGACGTGTAAAATACGGCGTGTCAGTAAATATTAAACTCTGCAATAATTTCGCTTGTGTCACTGTCATAAATATTGTCTGCAGAATTTCATGGTACCTGCAATTCAACTGCAATGTAGACACAACATTTTATGTTATTAAGGTAATTTAACGCGTGGGCCTGGACATAAAACTTCTTGTCCTAACGTAGACCTTAATTAGGTTAACACAGGTCATGAGGCTAGAACCTCCCCAACTGTATCCTTGTTGTCGTTGGGGGCTTGCGCGGGGCAGTGACCTCTGAGGCTATGCCGGTAGAGGCACTAATGCCGGAGGGAGACTCCAGACTAAGAAGGATACTCAGTAGGGCAAGGGTACCCGCCTGTACTGCGAGAAAGAAAACCTCTTCTGCCGGACGTCGCTTAAATAGAGAATGTACTCGAAGGTGGTGCCCGCGCCATTGCGGGCGGGCGCTAGGAGGGGTCTTGATGTCTTAATAACAGCAGTTCCGGGATCCCTCCTATTACAGGCACAGAGTGGCACACCGTGTGGTTTTAGTCGGTCCGTTTCCGACAAACCACTTCGCCGCAAACCCCGGTGGGTGAAGGCCCGAGGGGGTTTCAACACGTAAAAAAAAGGTCATTAGGCGAGAAGGTGTAAAATTACCAGTCAGTTCAGTGCACCGGTTGTTGACCTGTTAACTCAATCAAGTGAAAATTGCATCATCTTTAGAACAATGAGTTTTCCTGGAGAACTAGGCGCTATGAAACAGAAAGTAAGATAAAACAATCATGTCGTTTTTATAAGTCTATGCCAAATTAATAAACTTACATGTGACTAGCTCTTAAATCATGAATGACTTTACTGTTACAAGAATAAGGAACAAGGATTTTTCTATGGTTATTAACGGGTCTTTATATTATTCTAATGTTTAACGCTATCGAAAACAAAAGAATGGTAAAATTCAACACAAAATGAATTCAGGTCGAATTATTCATTGTGTACTCACTTTCACTAATTTCCAAGGGCTTAAAAATATTCATTCAGTTACGTCACTTTGCCATTTAAACTCTAATTATACAAATTGTTCTTAACCGAGTTTTGCTAATTATATTGCGCCGAAGATTTGTGTTGCTGTAAAAAACGTTAAAGAGGTCGGTTCCCCGGAGGCAAGAAAACAAATTGATTTTTAATGTCATCAGCTCGTATCTGCGTCGAGCCTAACATAATAATTTTCTACCTTAACTTTAACGTTCGCATGCTCGATGGACGAAAACTTATTATGTATCGGTAAAATTTTTACCATGTCGAGTGTCCTTTTGTAGGACGCTAATTATTTATAATTTATCCAATGATTGTCAATCATCGAATGAATAAAACGAAATTTCCTTGTATTGTGAACGACACCACTGAACTATACCACTGGGGTTTCGATTACAATTTTTTTTAGTCAACAACGCCACTGCTGACTGGAGACGTATAACGTGAAATAAAACAATTCGTTGTGTGTTAATTTTTTATGATAACGTTGAAATTGGTCGAGTTTACAGGGATTCGTAAAACATAACAATTGTTTCCATTACAACAAAAAAGAACTAAATTAATTTATAATACCTGATCCGATAATTAAACAATATCTATACATTTAGTTTACTTTTTTTTCATTCATTCATTTTTCTTTGTATCACTTCATCTGATCTTTAAAGCAAGTTCTAGAAACTACTGAAAAAAGGTTTTTTCAGAAGTTTCTCATCATTCTAAGGTCATGATCTTAGGAATAAGAAATAATTGATATCGATAAATGCATAAGTTTTGTTTTAGAACTTCATTACGGTGGCGTCGTTAATAAAAAAATAAGTAGACGGCACCCCAGTGGTGTTGATCAGTGGTGTCGTTTACAATACACGAAAACTTCCTGTTACCGAATAGTCACATTTTAATTTATTATTGCATTCTTAATCTGAATTTTGCATATTTACGTTTTAGGTAATTGTGGATTGCAATAAAGTAAATTGTTGTTTCTTAAATTGTGTGGCTTGGCTTTCTTTCTTTGTATCATAATTCTTCTCGATACTTTAGTAGGTTAAGTAGATTATTATAAGTCAGATTAAGGAGACAATGCTGTGCATTAATAAAGGGATAATAATAAAAATCGTATATGAGACATATCTTTAGCTAGTGAATGCCTTTTATGTTCTCTACATAGGTGTTTATTGAGTGGTATTCTGTTCTATTTCACTGTAATACTATATCATGATGCATGTCTTGTACAACACTACATTAAATTTAATAGATACATTTTGGTAACAAATGGGTTTTCTTTAAAGACGTGAATAGGGAAACATTAGTTCGTTTTCTGGCTCGACAAATCAAGATAGTGTCACGATAAAAGTCGCATCCAATCACTTGGTATCCTATTACCAGGTGCGTGGTGTTATTTACGCGGGACCAATCAGTATGTAAATATGTAGGGTTGGTGAACGTTCTGGATTGAGTGGGTAGAGAGCTTGCACAGCGCGACAGCCTGCGGCGCGCCCTGCGCTCGTGCGCACGTTTATGGCACTGCTTATAACGCCGGAAATCCTCGACTAACGCGCCTTCCCTATGTGATACATATAGGTTCGGAAAATAAATGTGTTGACTTATCAGTTGCTTTTATCTAGTAATTGTTTATTTATTAGTCGCAATGCGGGCTCTCAGTTCGTTTGTTTTGTTGATATTCGCGATGGACGTGATAAACATAGTAGTACAATGTTTACAAGGTGAGGCACCGCACACCCACCGTCGATACGCAACGTCAGCATGCAACACGAGTGTCACTTACGATCGGATCCTGCTGAAACACGTGACGTTGCTATCAAAGTATGTGTTTACCGGTAAAGTGTTTGGTATCAATAGGGGTTATAACGGTACTCGTGTATTCAAAGTGAACATACGACGAGTACTAAAAGGCGATTTAAATGATATAGGTGTACCGGTTAAGTTCGGTACTTCAAAGGCTTTGCGCTTCAGCGACGCTACAATTTTCGTGGAAAGTGCTAGTATATCGTGTATACCTTTACGTGTGCGAACTTGTGGTATATTTCTAACGGAGGAGAAGCGGGAAGGCGGTACACTGTGGTTGCGTTTTATAATAGAGCCTCTCGTGTTGACGATAAGGAGCATTGAAATAATCGAGGCTGCAATTAAAGGTAAGATTTATCTTTAGACTTGTACAGGTAGCTATATAAGCTAAGCTATATAAGTAAGGTATTTAAATGAATAGAAAATACTATGCTGAAGTATAAATCTGTCAAGGTTTGTGATGTTCTTGAAAGGCCTAAACCAGTTCACGTGAAGTTCTGATAGAGGTGCGTAAATAAACAAGTAGGCGGCAATTAGTCGCGGGGCGGAGCAAGTGTCAGCGAGGCCCGCGACGCCGACTTATTGCGGCTACTTGTTACCGGTTACAGAGACAGCCAACTGACCGCATCGACATGCATTTTTAAAGTCAATTTATGTATGATGATGAATTATTATCACTTTAAATTACATATCACCATTCACAGTTATAACACATTTTTGTAAAATGATGTTGATGATTTTTAATAACTTTTAGATTTTTATAGTCAACATCACACATAACTAATACACTTATTATCGGCAGTATACTGCGTGTTCTTAGAACTCACAGGCACTTGGGAGCCAGAGCAAACACTCTGATTAATTTGATTCCAAATCCTACAGATTAAAATAAATATTATAGGTATGTTTACTTTAAAAGATTCTTATATGAATTATATTATTATATGAAAGATAATATTTCCCTAAGAAATAAACGTAACGTATTTGGTATAGTATCTAATTAGGAATTATCATGATAATAGCCCGGTGCTACATGTACTCGTAAGATCCTTTAGGTTTACATCGTACACCGCTATTAATGTTACCTGAATACCTCCATTTTAACACGCTTTGTGATTAGACTATATTAGCAAGCACCTTTTATTTATGAAAGTTTCACCTCATAGTACTGATTTCAGGTTGTGATAAGATTAATTCGTTGGTTATTGAAGTAGGGCAGTCCGCGAGTCATCGTGTGGAATCAACTAATTAACAACGACATTTGTAATTTTAAAGATTTATTTAGGTAATTATGTAGTTTAACGTTTTTAACATTTATTTCTGTTAGAATTAACTAAGCTTTTTTCTTTCTGTCCTGTGCAGGCGTTTTGTTTATAATATTCAAGTTAGAAAACCAATTTTAAAGTAGTAAGTATTTCCAGGTAACTGCAGGAATATTAAATTCTCCACTTTCATGTCACCGCAAAGTTCTTGATGTTTAAAGTTTCGTTTACCTACCCGTTGCACAACTAGATATTAATTTTATGAAAAGCTTAACTCCGCACTGAACTTGTCAGCAAATAGATACATTTTACTACTTTATACGGCTTCTTTGAACTTTCCTACTTTTATACAGGATACCTGATTCCAAACTTTATAGTTCTGGATTTTATAAATAATATATCATATTACGTAGTTCGTTCAAATTGATATTATAAGTTTTAGACTGATTTATAATAAGCTTATTATTTAGTCATCTTTCTAGTGTTTAGTAATCTACTCATAGTTGTTGAGAATGTGTAGATACACATAGTGTAAGCTTCCTTAGTTTATACTCGTAGCTAAACCTCCTTTCTAAGGAGAGGCCTATGTCCAGCAGTGGACTAGTATAGGCTGTTGATGATTGATGATGATAGCCGTTCTACAAAGTTAAAACTTCATTTCAATCATTACTTTGTACGAATGTTGCCCAATACATTTTATAGATATTTAGAAGTATATTTTATGACTTATGTTATTACACACACACACACGCCCGTCCGCACCTCCAACACACACATACACTAAAACACCCAACACACACAAAGGCGCGCGCGCACACAGAACACTTATACTTACATATAACTGAAAATAGACGATTATAACATTGCTTAAAAGGAGTGTCCAATTACGAATAACACCAAACTGTGTAATGCAAATAAATAAATATTATAACTTTCAGCACTACTCTACCCTAACCGTGACACTTCTTCTAAATCTAATAAATCACCTATCACTCCTATCAAACGATGCTTTACTCAATAATATAATTATATAAAAAAATATACTTTATAATTTAGGCAATCGTTGTTCATTGAGGCAGAAATTTAAAGAAATAAATATAATGACAGTGGCAAGTCAATATATTTATGAAAATGTAATATATGTTCACAAAAATAAAGATAGCTTTTTGAAAAAAAGTGATGTACATGCCATAAATACCAGAAATAAAAATAAATTTGTTGTACCCGCCTCTAGGCTCCAAAAGATAAACAAGTCTTTTCGAGGTCAATGTGTCCGATTTTATAATAAAATCCCAAATAATATTCAGGAGTTGAGTATTAACAAATTTAAATCCGCAATAAAACGTGGCTTGTGCCAGAGGGCCTACTACTCGATTGTGGATTACATGGAGGACAAGAATGCTTGGGATTAATTAGCGCAGGCTATTTCTTTCTTAAGTAAAAATGTGGTGTGGCTAGTATGTTTTTTATTATTTTTTCTATTTTTTATGTTTCACTTCATTTTCTCTTGTATTCGTTCTCGATTGTTCTTCTTAATCTTGTTTTCTCTTCGTTGTTTTTTCACCTTTAAGTCCTTAATAACGGACATACTAGCATACATCAAAACAATGTTGTGATATATTTAATAGTGCCATTGTATCTACTTGTGAATTGCAAAAGAGTGGCCATGAGTTTGTTTGCCCTTTCTTCTCATAAGGCTCAACCCCTTGGAAACGGGCGGTTGTAGATCGGCACAGGCATATCATAGATTTTGTATGGGTTTGATTTTGTTAAATTTATTTGGTTACTATTTGACAAAACAGAGATTGTTGCTTTTGTGTGTGTTGATCTATGACTTTAGAGTCTACATGGAAGACGATTTCAAACAATTTTGAAAATTTTATGAAATAAAGAAAGTTTGAGTTTGAGTTTGAGTTTGAATATTGACGAGAAGAAGGCAGGTATGGTACCTCTAAATACTAATTTTGTTTTTCAATATTTTGTTTTACCACTTTCTCAGATTGATACGAGTATTAGATAAATAGACAGAGTTAAGTTTACGAAACTCTATAAATGGTCGAGAAGCTTAAAAGCACCTTTAACACGTATATTTCGTTTTAAGAACGTGACTCGACTGAAACATCGAATCGAACTGAAATATTCATGATTAATTTGTATTAAATAGTTATACAGCCTCTCATTTGATATGAGTTATAGAAAGTTAGTCATGAAGCTAATGCTGCCAACAGAAATTATTTTTTTATGGTTCCATTTTAAATTACATTTTTTTAAATAATCACTTTCTTGTACGTCTCTCAAACTGCATGTCTCTCAAAGCCCCTAAAAAATATTTTAAATTAGCATCAGATCCTTATCCTCCCTTTTAAAAGAAAATTTTAACATTTCGCATTTAAATCGAAACCTACAGGCTACTATCAAAGCTTCACAGTGAGGGTAAAGGCAAAATCGCAAAATTTGTAATTTGTTTTTATATAACAGAAAAAAAAACTTTTTGCGATTACAGACTCATATTTTGCAGTAGCCTTATTTACTGTAGCGTACGCGTCTCGATGTATAAGAGAGCACCTTTTGGAACTTTAAGTTGAGTTTGCCTTTCTGAAAAACTATGCAGAAATCTTCGAGGATCCATTTTCGAGATAGACAAACTCTCTAAATACAATTTTCTTTATAAGACTCACACTTGCTCCACCCTACCTTTTTAAGTTAATTTAGGTTTATTGATTTAAATATATTTTTTATTTTACGGGTTTTTTTATAAATAAACTCATTTAACTTTCTCCCTTTTTGGGTGCTTCGTAATCTTTTATTTCATAACTTGTTTGCAGTGTAGAAACACGTGGCTCATGAAGAATTTATATTCCATTTCTGTATTATATTTCATACATCGTCGTTGTTAAGATTATACGAACACATAAAGTTTGTCGGGGTAATTTTTCATAGTGACACAGGCCATTGTCTGGTTGCAAATGCTCTGCCGGCACCGCGGTATATTTGAAGTTGTTAAAATCAAATGAAATATCGCATTGCCAATGAAATTAAACTAGTAATAGTAGTAATCATATAGAACTGTTCTAATTACCTCAAATGAGTATAGTTGGATTTGAGCAACTAAGATAAGGAATGGATTATAGACGGTCACTATAAAAATTCAACACAAATGTACATCCTTTACTTTCCTCCATTGGGGGTGAAATTTTAAAAAAATCGTTTCTTAGTAGGTGCTTATAAAAAATATTCAGCTACCAAAATTTCAAGTTTGTATACCCAGCTTGGCTTGGCTTAGGCTAAGCGTTGAGATCATTCAGTCAGTCAGGGCAAGTAATTTTTTACGTACAGATTTTAACTTTTAAAATAGTTTATATTCCATTGATTCGATTAGGTATATAAACTTCCTTTCTGTTGTTTTTGATATACTCAGTGTCAAATGAGTAGACCGGTTGCCTCAAGATTGATTTGTTTGATTACTACCACCCATGAATACCTGCAACAGTGCAACTTAAGTGTCACTAATGCGTTGCCGGTCCTTTTTTGAAGGTTATATCAGTCTGCACGGATGGCGTAGAGGTTTAAGCGGTCACCTCGCCGCTTCCTACTGCGCTGAGTGTTGTGGGTCCGATCCAAACATTGGACGACACTTTGTGCGATCCACAAATTGTTGTTCTGAGTCTGGGTGTTCTTTGTGTCCATTTCATGTAATTTTGTAAAGTCCCTCGAGACACAGGATATTATTCCTTATGCGGGAGTTGTCTTTTAAAAAGAAAAAAAAGGAAATAATGCAGGCGATAATTTGTTCCCACGGTTCCTTCAATTGTATTATATTGCTTCTTTTGTTAAATTTGAATTCTGAGCAAGTTGAAGTAGTCAGAACTACGTGTACAATTATAGGAAAACACTTCTTTTTTAAATCACATCACTGAAAATTTATAAACTTACATAGTAGTTAATATTTACTGTTCCATACCATACCGTTGACATTTTAAATTAAAACTTTTTCAAGTTTTACTTTAAATTATGAATATAAATAATAATTTACCTATACGGTTTTATGCATGTATAAATAAAGTGAATTGCTAATGAAAATATTATCAGGTAGATATGTTATAAATGTAGATATCTGAACTTTGCGGATCTTTAAAGTTGATGATCGAGTTCGCTCCAACTCGAACTAGCGCCGGATCCTTTGGGAAAATAACGCCAACTATAAAGTTCTACTAAATCGGCAAGAGCTCCTATGATGCTCGGCCACTTTTATTATTAAATTGAAACACCTTACGGTGGATATAAACTGAATAGTCTATATTCTCTTTATGTAACTGACTGCTAAATATCTTCAAAGAAGTGACCGCAGCATTCGACTGTCGAATTTATGGCATAGAAATGAGTCTTTTATTTATTTTAGATTAATTGTACTTTATAAACGACGATGAAACCCCCTCGTACATCAAAAGGCTGACGAAGGCTTCAATTAAATCACGAACTGACGGAGTTGACCAAACGTATATTTGTAAAACTCCGCCTCCATTGTCCAGTTACACTGCCTTATACGAATAAAAATATACTCTCGTATATTGCTCATTTTCCCTTAACATAGATGTC